AACATTTTACATGATAATTTCTATTTAAAATTAATTGATACATAATAGCTCGACAGGGCTGCTTATACACTTAGACAACTGATCAATGAATAAACCAGGGCATATGGAGACTCATTATACACAAGTGATGTCCTGAAGCTTCGAAACTGCCACCACATAAATTATCACAACCTGAACTTACAGTAAATGAACTGTACAGTAATCCTGTGTTTTTTCGCGTTTTTTTTATTGCGGTTTTGATCATTCAAATTTTTTTATACTAAAAAAAAAAAATATATATATATATATATATATATATATATATATATATATATATATATATATATATATATATATATATATATATATATATATATATATATATATATATATATATATATATATATATATATATATATATATATATATATATATATATATATATATATATATATATATATATATATATAGGACATCCCGACGTCAGTGATTGTGCTGTGTACTGACAAAATTTTCATTTGTAATTCCCTTTAAAATGGCTGGCAAGCTTAAAAGTGAGAGTTTTGTGGTGCTGAGAAGAAAAAGAGACACCCAATTTAGATTTTATATGTATTATTTTCACATTTTCGACTTACAACCTGGATTTGGGTCCCTAACCCTGTCGTAAGTCGGGGACTGCCTGTATACTACATTTCTTTGCACACAAGCAAGAATATAACCCCCCTCCCCCCGGTCAGCAAATGTTATTCTCTGTCAATTTGAGAACCTAATCCCTGCCAATTCTAAGGGCATGATGTACCAGCGTGAGCCGTGACCCACCAGCACGGTCCACACCCAGAGTTAAGCACCCCTGGGAACCGACCATTATCTTCTGACCAGGCGGTGTAAATCAGTCAACCCTGGGAACAACAGTGGATCAGCTTTACACCTTACCATAAGATAACACAACACCACTTAACAGAGAGTGAGGTACTGTGACACCATCCCACACCACACAATCTCTCCATGACCACGTGAGTTCCTTCATATCAACATCAGCAGACGAGTCACTACACCTAGTGAACACCACACTACTTGGTGTCTCCATGACCATATGAGGTCCTTCATGTCAACACCTATGGATGAGTTACTGTACAATGTGGCCTACATGACCTCACACAGTAGGGCAAGCGACCAGCCCGGGCCATACACTGCTAACTATAATAATTTGTATGTTCAATTCATGTTCTTTTTAGAAATGAAAGCTTTTGTTAAATGACCCACCCATCCCCATGTCTTTGTATGTACTCATTTTTGTCTAATGTATATTTTCAGCCTTCGGGCTGCTGAATTTTTTCAATAAACTGTTAATTATTATTATTATTATTACACACGCACACACAACACCAACACGGGAATGTAAAACAGCAAGCATCCAGAAAGGGTCTTATTTTATGCCAAATTTCCGTGTGTCACTGAGAGGAGGCGAGCTAAAGATCAGCTGTTGAGCAGCAGTTGGCAACACCAGTGCATGCTTCTACTCCATCTTTAATTTACCCACGACTTTCTGATTTCTCACTCCATATTTTAAAATATTGTGTAATGTAATGTTGACGGATACAACGTTGCTCATTTATACTTATACTTCTCTTTTGTCTTTATTCAAGACATCTTCAGGTCTTGAGACCCACTAATCTCCCATCCAACAATGTGTGACTTGTCATTGCATCAGAAGGTCAGTAATATGAGACCACTAATCCCCCACAGCTCCATGGGAGTGGAAAATAACAGTCTTTGCTGTAACACACAGCTTCATTCACACCTGTATCATATAGAATTTTAGTGTTTAAATATAAACTATTCTGGATTATTTTAGTAAAGAAATTGAGTTTCTAACTTAATTTGAACTGCTTTGATAGATTCCGGTAGTTTAGACTCTCGAAAAACATTCCCTAGCACCCAGAAACATTCTGGGGATGTGGGCTAGAGTCCATCTGTGCAAGAAGCGTAGTTTAGACACACGGAAACTTTTCCCAGTAACCGGAAAATATTCCGGGGATAAGGAATTTTTCCGGGTTTAAGTAAGTCGTCTCGTTACCTGGAAATCTCTCATCCCTGGAAATGCTCTGCACTAATTGTTCTGGCTAACAGAGATATCACTTATCTGTACAGTATAGTACAGTGATCCCTTGGTTAACGAATGGTTCGGTTAACGAATTACCTTCCATAAGAATCTTCAATTTGGTTAACGAACAAATATTTGATTAACGAAATCCTTACGGAAATCACGTTTTGTTGTGAGCATCAGCTGATGGGCTAGTCTGCCAATTTAGTAATCTGTTCTATGTTTACATTCGTTTCCAATGGAGTAAATATCAATAAAATTGTGCTCTTTAATATTTTTGCATGTTTTATATTAAAATTATTACTCATTTTAACATTTATTTAACATATTGATAATATATGCAGTACAGGAAACTAGTTTGTTGTGCGCCCATCAGATGCATGAGTCGGTCACAAGGTGTCAGTTGAGACTTTGTTTACAGTGAAGAAAATCTATTTTATTGGTGTCTTGAATATTTTTGCATTTTTCATTGAAATTATTGGTCATTCTGAACTTTAGTTAACATATTGATAATATATAGCGTAGTGTAGTGTTGATTTAAAGAAAATAATCTTGAATTACATCTAGAGAACTTAAAATTTTATTGGTGAAATAACTGCATCAAGCATGGGTCCCCTGAAAGGTGATTTCTACTCCATCCTCACTTCCTTCTCTTCTCCCTTCTCCTCCACCCCACTTCTAATTCCCATCATCATCATCAACCAGGAACCTTCTACATACACACCTCAAAGTAAGTGTACTTTACTGCAATTTTTTTTATACTTAGTATGTACTTTTCTGTGAGCTGGAACCAATTACCCAATATCCCATTGAAACAATGGATTCGGTTAACAAAATTTTCGGTTAACGGACGACCTTCTGGAACGAATTGTGTTCGTTAACTGAGGGACCACTGTACAGGTAACTCACATATTATGCGCATTTGATTTAAGCGTTTTTGCAATAATGCGATTGTTCAATTAATAGCAAAAGCTAATTTATGAGCACCTATTTTTGAAATAACGCGCTCAAGACAGTTTAAATTTGCTGCACGTATTAGCCTGGTCACCTGGCAGTGGAGTAGTATGTGTGATGCCTGGTGAGGTGCTTGTAAGTTATTACTATAAAGTCGCAGTCATATCAACATCAACAATTTTAATATTATTATTATTAAGAATAATAATTATTATAATAATGTAATAATAAAGATTATTACTACTAATGGTGAAGATAATGATGATAATCAAGTATTCTGTACAACAACTGTGACGACGTCCAACAAGTTTCCCGCATATCGCTTTCTCAGTTCACACCAGCACTACTTTTTCTCTGTGCTCTCATTTGCAGTGTGTGTTTATCACGCACCTTTTTAGTGGTAAATGCTGTTTTCCCCATTGAGTATGTCTGGAAAACATCCATCTGCCTCCTCTGGGGCGCCTAAAGCTAAAAAGGCACGAAAAACAATCGGAATGGATGTGAAATTAAATGTGATCAACCTGCCATCAGAGAGGAGATCATGTGTCGGAGGCCGCGTGCTTGGTTTAAGTGAGAACACTGTTCCTTCCCTGTGTGGTATATGATGGTTCCCCTAACCTGTACCATTTACATGTATTCTTATGGGAAAATAATGTTTAATTTACGAATTTTTATATTAAGCGGTGGTTTTCAAGAACGTAACCCCAGCATAAAACGAGAGGTAAGTGTACTTAAAACTAATCACAAATACGTATTGCTTTTTCGTTATTAATACAGTCAGTTCTGCTATAACGCGATAGTTGTGTTCTTGTAAAACATCGTGTTATAGAAATTCGCGTAATAGAAATAACAGGGCTTATGGAGAAATTAGGGTTAGGTGCAGATTACTACTCGAAATCGAAAAAAATTTAGTAGTTAGCCTAACACAAAGGATAGCACAGTCAAAGTAAATGTTACATTCATATCTAATAATGAAATCATACAGTAAATGTAACACTTTACCTTGAAAAATTATGAATATAACTTGATGGGGGAGAAGGGTGATTTTGAGGTAGATAACATCGAGCTTCTCTTCAAGGGTTATAGCCTTTCTTTTACGATCATCACCGGGAATGCAATTACCAGAACGCTTCTTGGAGATATTCACAGTTAATACCACAAAATTGGAGAAATAGTAAGCAAAAATTGCGTTACAGCAAATAAGCGTTCGCGTTATACAAATATCGTTCCTCTATTCATAAATCGCGTTAGAGCCAATTCGCGTTGTCAAAACACGCGTTATAGCAGAACTCACTGTATTCCATTTTTTAATGTTTTTTCCAAAGTGCCAGTAGTTAAGCTACTTTTCCAAATGAATAGGTGTAGTGGTAGTGTCACTACATTTATGGCCATATAAAGTTGAGCTACTATTTCCAGGAGGTGGTGTGCACATCATGGAAACAAGAACAGTACCTGTATATGACATGAGCTCACTGCTTAGGAAAAAAAAAACAGGAAAACATAGATGAATTTGGAAGAAACTTCAATGAAATCTTCTCCAATCTCTACCATACAGCATATCCATCATTAGGTCATGCGAAATATCAAACTGCTTTTCAGCCTGTTCAAATTTTTTTTTGCAAACTTTCCAAAGAATATATTTCTCTGTGATTTTCTATTTGAAAATATAAATGGAATTAACAGCAGACTAATCACCAGCACAATCATTAATAATACTTAGTAAAATACATAAAACTGTCAATTTTTATGAGTTAACAGGAGATGGACCTGATAAAAGTGCAAGGCTTACAGTTTACAAAACCAAAACACAAAGCCATTCAATCTTAACATGCTCTTAATATATACAAGTAACCAGTGGATGAATAAAAACCCAGTCTTTATGATAAAAATATCTGTTAATAGTTTTAGTAAACAAAGACAAGAGGTTTGCACTACTGTACATACATATCCAAACTATAATTACCTCAAAGTTCATAGAGATGGGAGGTCTGGTCCACTTCTTCTTTGTGTCTGTTTGCAGCAGCTCTATCTCAGCAGAAATCTGTGATTCTTTCATGCCACCCATTCGCTTTATCCTGAAAGCAAAAATTGGAAGACTAAAGCATGAAGTCTTATTCTATGACTGACCCGTGAAATACCTTCACTGAAACACCCTGTCTGAGCCTGCTATGAATAGGGAGCTTGAACCATTCTTGCTGCAGGTCACACACATTGTCTTCCCTCAAAACTGAATCATACTCTTTAGAAGAAAAGTTGCTGCAAGCTTTAAAAAAAGTATTTCACTGGAAAATGCTGGTGTTGTGTGTTGTCAGGACTGCTGCTGTGGAAAAAATAAAAAATAAAAAACTCACTGAACTACAGTATGTCTGAATTTAGTAGGTATTCATCATCAAGTATTCCCAGTATTCTCTTTTGGAAATTATTTGAAACCCAATGAACAACCTTGGGATTTAAGCTTTGCTACAGTCCAGATGGAGTAACAAAGAGAAACAACTACAGTATAGTCTTCATTTACGCGGTCAATTGAACCCGTAGAGGTCCGCGTAAAACGAGAAACGCGTAAACGAAATAACAGAATGCATGGGATTAATTGAAATAAAGACTGGGCCGACCCCCAAACTACACTTTTTCCGACACAGTAGTACGTTGTAGTAAAAATGACATCTTAATTTAATGATGGAATGCACACACAATTAATATTTAAGAGAATTACAGTCATGGTTAATGTCCATTCAAATAATGGACTCAACTCCCCCCCCCCTCTTCCCACTCTTGCTGGCTCCTCCCTCTCTGAGAAATGTTTGGGAGAAAAGACTAAGTTTTTATGTTTAGTAATAAATAATACCTCAGACTATGTTTAGGATAATATAATTGACATAGCTGGATTCCTTGCAAGACTGCGAATAATTTGAATATAAACGTCATATATTTTGCACAAAAGATACAATTTTTGCTCTCTAATAAAATTCTTAAATTAGATCTAAAATTTGTATGTCTAATGTAAATTTTAGGATGTTTATGTTCAAATTAATCACCATTTTGTAAGAATTCCAGCAATGTAAATTATATTCTGGCAGGGTAATTTATATGAATTTTATGAGCTAAAAACAAATATCTTCAGCTGGGCGACCTTGTGCGCACCACTTCCCGCGTAAATGATGGAATGAACCGCGTAAATAAAAATTGTCGGTCTGGCAAGATGCCGCGTTTCTGATCAAACGCGTAAACCAAATCCACGTAAATCGAGACTATATTGTACAACAATCCCCTGCAATGCTAAGATGAACACTCCTGAAGAATCATGGCATTAGTGAACTATTTATCAATGAAAAATAGGTGAATGCAATTCAACTCCCCTCCACCAGACCCCCTACTGCCCACAAACAGGAATACAAAATATATACTGTATGGCATTGCACTGTATCGTATTCTTTATGTACACCTCAGAACCAAATTTGCTAAACATTATTCCATAATTTTCATTATGTTTAGGGAAAACTATAGTTCACTTTTTATTGATATCCAAAATAAGCAAGGCCGACATATGACATATGAAGAAGTCACTCAGTGGTGCTTATGTTAGGGATCTTCTGGACTATGACCTAATCACAAGATGACAGATGCTGTATTTCCAGTATATCAAAATTATAATTATATAAATCGGGTTGGTACACTGTAGCTTACTAAGAGCAGCATCAAAAAATAGCATATGTATTTACCCAATTTACTTAATTTATCTTAACTAGCAGTTAGATTTGGTATAAACATAATAAAAGATAAACATAAATTGGTATCATTACATTCATTGGGAAATTCGTTTTGGGTGAGTTGTTGCCTGACGCTGCTACAAGAGAAATTTTCAAGATTTTTCAATTATGATGCCACAAAAAGAAAGTTAGTAAAACACTATTACATTAAAAAAAATAGACCTTTCTGGGTTGAAAATCAGACATTCTGGTTGTCGACAAAAAATTTGTCTTATTAATAAAGAGAAAACTGTATTGAGTACTGTAATGTACAGAATTATAAAGAAAAAATAAGAACAAATAAAGATTGTAGGGGTATAATGTGTGTGGGAGATGAGTGATCTAGGAGCAGCAGGCAGAGAGGGAGGGAAGAGGAGTAAAAGCATGTTGTCTCCCACAGGAACCCTTTAAATTATCTTTATGCACTTTCACTATAATTCTCATATTATTTAGCGACATAAAATAATCAACTTTCCCAAAATACGAATCCCACACTCAACACCATGATCATCCTAGCTCCCTCCCATGCACATTACAACATCTGTCTTCAGCACTTAGTAAATACTGTAGTGTATTTATCACCACTTAATAAATAATAATTTTGTGTATTATGCATCTGCAAATACAGAGGTCCCTCGATTAACAAACACAATTCATTCCACAGAGTCTTTCGTTAACTGAATCTATTATTTCAATGGGATATTGGGTAATTGGTTCCAACTCACAGAAAAAGTACATACAAAGTACTGTATACCAGTAATAGAATTAACAAAACATTAAATATAAATTAAATACAGTACTGTACAGTATACTGTACAGCATAATAATAAATAAAAAACAATAGAATACTATACAGTATTTTAACTTACTTTGAGGTGTGTATGTCGTATTCCCGGCAGCTTTGTTTACATATCAAACAGCTGATTGTAGAGGCAGTTGATGATGACACGCCATATTCTTTACAGAGTGCATTGGTTCTAATGCCTTCCCCATGTTTCATAATAATTTCTTCACTGTATATTATCAATATGTGAACTAAATTTCAGAATGACCAATAATTTTAATGTAAAAATGCAAAAATATTCAAGAGACCAACAAACTGGATATTCACTCCACTGTAAACAACGTTAAACTGAGAAGCGTTGGTGGGTGATTTAATCAGCTGATAGGCGCACAAAAACTGTTCCCTGTACTGTATATATTATCAATATGTTAATTAAATAAGTGACCAATAAATTTAATAAAAAAAATAAAAAAATATTCAAGTGACCAACTTTCTTGATATTTACTCCACTGGAAACGAATGTAAACATAGAACCAATTACTGTATTGGCGGACTAACCGATCAGCTGATGCTCACAACAAACCGTGTTTCTCGTAAGGCTTTCATTAATCAAAGTTTTGTTCGTTAATGGAATTGAAAATCCTCATGGGAGCTAATTCGTTAACCAAAATTTTGTTAATTGTACCGTTCGTTAATCGAGGGACCACTGTACACTGGTTTATTCATTAATCGATTGTTTAAATGTACAAGTACCCAAATTGTACCATCATGTATCACCCAAAGGTAATTAATAACTTTGTTAGGAAGGTATATCCATATCAAATACTATACAGTGTGTTACAGTGACCCTGTTGCAAAATGATTTTCTGAAAGCTCTCACACGAATGCATCCGGAGTGAATACTGTACCTTCCAATACAGCTTAACCTTTTATTTTCAAGTCAAATTAAAAATTTTATATTGATTTTTATTTTATCATTGAGAATGTTATATTATTTATGATAAATCATACACCATAAGAGGCTGATCATATGAGAATACAGTGATATCCCCGTCAGCCGGAACAATTGGTGCAGAGCACTTCCGGGGATGAGAGATTTCTCGCTAACCAGACGACTTTAAAAAACCCGGAAAAATTCCTTATCCCCGGAACCTTTTCCGGTTACCGTACTGGGAAAAGTTTCAAAGCGTCTAAACTAGACATCTTGCACAGATGCACACTAGCCCACTTCCCCAGAATGTTTCTGGGTCCTGGAGATGTTTTCCTAGTCTAAACTACTGGAATCTGTAAATACAGTTATAATTAAGTTACAAACTCCATTTCTTTACTATAATAATCCAGAATAGTTTATATAAAAGTTTGATTAAATAAATATATTTAAAAATTAAAAATCTTTATATGGGCGTGAATGAAGCTGTGTGTTACAGCAAAGACTGTTATTTTCCACTCCCATGGAGCTGTGGGGGATTAGTGGGACTTGTGTAACTGATCTGACCTGATGCAATGTCAGGTGGAGGTAGGGTGGGAGATTAGTGGTCTTATATTACTGATCTGATGGAATGTCAGGTCGCCCTTTCTTGGCCGGGGGATTAGTGGGTCTCATGACCTGAAGATGTCTTGAATAAACATGAAACCTAAAGTATTTTTAGAGAGATTGTGGTAAGTGCAGATACAGTAGGGTCGGGATATAACGCGTGATAGGGACCAAGGATGTTCGCTATATACTAAATCGCGATATATAATTACATGTACCGTATACAGTGGTACCCCACTTAACGCGGTCAATTGAACCCAGAGGGTCCCGCGTTAAGTGAAAACCGCGTTAAGTGAATAACAGAACATATGGGATTAATTCCAATAGAACCCAGCCCGACCCCCAAACTCCACTTTTTGACGACAAATAACTATGTTGTAGTAAAAATAACATCTTAATTTTATGATGGTACATGCACACAATTAATACTTAAGAGAAATAGAGTCGCCAAGTTAATGTCCATTCAAATAATGGACTCAACTCCCTCCCCCTCTCACACTACAGTACACAGCCAGCTAACAGATGGTCGGTCGGTCCCTCCCTCCCCCCCCCACCCCCCACCAACCGTCCCAAGGAGATGTGTGGGATAACCTCAAACTAAAGTTAGGAAAATATAATTGACATTGCTGGATTCCTTGTAAGACCAGGAATATTTTGAATATAAATGTCATATATTTTTCACAAAAGATAACATACTTACTCAGATTAAACATTTTATCTAAAAATTGTATGTTTAATGCAAAAAATATGTTGTTTATATTCAAAATGATCACCAAATTATAAGAATTCCAGCAATGTAAATTATATTCTGGCCGGATAATTTGTATGAATTTTATGAGCTAAAACAAATATCTACAGTTAATAAAAAAAAAAATATATTCTTCAACACTATCTGTCAATCAAAGTACCCCACCTTGCCTCCCCCCCTCTTCCAACCGCGCGGTCAGTCCCAACCCTCCCCCCACCCCCCACCAATCCTCCATTCAAGAGTTTTTAACATTTAGTATTAAA